GAATGGGGTTAAAAAAATAAGTACGAGTGTTTCCTCAGAAAATACTGTACTGTACTTGTATGTATTGTTTGCTTGAGAATACAACAGAGAATAAACTGCCCAAATACCCTTAAACAAAGGAAAAGTACGTACTTTATGAAGGCATAGAGCCTTTACTACATGAAAATGAAAATTAATGAATACACTGTGTACAGTAATTTACAGAAAAATACTTTATGAGGCATAAAGCTGTCTATAATGAAAATTAATTAACTAAGGGTGTTTTTGCCGTGCCAGGGTGTGGCCAAGTTATCCGGACTGCCGGGTTATCAAGTGCCGAGTTTTCGGGACTCTACTGTAATTATTAAATTTATCAAAAGATGCCTACTTCTAGGCCGAATTACTAAATATTTAATTATTAATATAGCCTGATATAATCTGGCAATCATTTGGCTTTAAACTAGTAATTGTGTTTTTAGATGTTTATATTTGTATATTTTAAATCACTTTCTTTTATTGTTTCCCGATGGCACCAAATTGTGGGAAATTCTAATTTACACAATTTCATTGAATTTTTGATATATTTCTTTAGCTGCAAATGTTCATTCAGTTTCAAGATCTTTTATATTTGGCATTATCGTTCATTCCAGGTTTTTTAGAAAATACCTTTTTCATTTTGTAATTCCTTCGTGAAAGAATGTTGAGCTGAATACATAATCTGAAAACATATAGCAACTAAGTTAAGGAGACAAACACATTACCAAAGAAAGTCATGGGCTAGCATTTTGTTTTGAAATTTGCAAGACTTAGTTCATATCATTTAATGATATAAAATATTGTCATTTGACTTGCTTGCATTATAACTTATAATTTATGATTTCTTTTTTGATCCTTCTGTAATTGTTTTATCAGAATGCATACTGCTAAGTAACAACAATTATTCTTTGTTACATGGCTCACAACTGTCATTTTCTTTATAAAACTAAAAAATACTGGAATATAATGGTGTAACAGGATTTTCTTTCATATAAACGTATTTCATATTTATTTTGGCAAATGGTATCCACTAAATCAAGTGGTATGCTAATAACAAAGGTTATTTGTTGTTATATTTTTATCACTGTTTCGAGTGATAGACATAAGCTATCAACAATTTTAAAACTAATTTTTTTGGATATCTTCTCCAAGTGTTCTGACAATGTAAGAAATAGTATGATATCTTTATGCCATCCAAAATGCCTTGACCTATATTTTGCAGGTTTCTTACACATGTTTTGAGTAAATGGGCATCTTCCTCAAAATAGTTTTAACTATTTGTTAATTGCTACTGTTTCACTAACAATAAATGACTTAAACAGTTTTCTAAGAAAATTTTTCGTATCGAACAATGCAAATGTATCAGTTTGTATGCATGTATTTGTAGTTCCTTTGTTATCAAAATGTAAAAATCTTCTTATGTTTACGGATATACAAGCTTTACAATAAGGATTACACTCATTACTACAAAATGTGATTATCACTATAGTTCTTAACAATGAAATTTCAATTTGTAGATTTATATACTATGATAATTGATGACGGTCAATTTGACTCCCCAGTATGCCATCAAGTGAATATAAGAATCATTACAGCAGTTTTAAAAATTCCATTATAATGTTTTGATTGTTTTGATTTATTAAGTCTAAATTTTGGCCTTTTTTAATAATTCAATCACACAGGAATACATTAATCGAATATGTAGACTTTATTATTGTATTCAGAAATGCAATAGAAGAAAGCTTGTTTTATTACTATTATTCTATTCATTAGGAACTTTACTGTGCAAAAATCTTTTTGCACTGCAATAGAAGAATGCATATGGAAATAAACCTTGATGATGCTAACACAATCCTCTTACAAATACACTATTTTATCCCTTACACTGTACCAAGGACACTTATTGCATTGCAACTGCTGTTGGGAAGAGTTGCTTGATTTTGTAGGATACCCAAATGTTGGACAAGTCAATTCCAGCTAGGAGAGAGGTATTTCTGTTGGTAATCTGTATTTCCCAGAATGCTGATGTTTGTGTATTATATGGGTCATCCCATATATTCCTCAAATATAAAAATTCTTTTTTAAATATATAATTTATCTGTAGTTCTCCTTTTTCTTTGCAGATTATTTGCAGTTATTAAAATATGTAATGTAATAGAATAGCAGTACTCATCTGTTTATTAATACAATAAACTTTAATAATTTGACAAATTATATCAGGTACTAACAACTGGCCATAAAACTTAATTAATGATTGGAATTGGAACTATATATTTTAGAATAATTTTGATAAATCAGTAAGTACACAGTAATTATATAATTATCTAAATTAAAAATACTTATAGGAGGAATTTGATTTCTTAGACATTCCATAATAACCCAATTTATATTTGATCTTATTATACTCTAAAAGTACTGTATTTTTATAAAAGTAGATTATACGTTAAGTCATTTGGCAGTGCAGTTTATAAAACCTTATAAGTTACATGAATAGCAATTACAGATTATACTTTTTGCAGACAGAAGTATATTCTAATTTTATCTTATAATCTGCTTGGCCAAAGATGCTTTTGATGCTATATACACAAAATTCAATAATGAATAATAATTACTGTTACACAAGATTAGTTTTATCAGTTATTCAATTAATACATGTTTATTTGACAACAAAATGTAAAAACTTAAAAAAACATTTAGAGAAACTTAAATTTATTCCCATTTATAATAATAAGTATATTTCTTTTTCTTTGAATATTGACTTATTGTTACTTAGATATTGTATACAGCTGCCATTTAAATATGCTATGTGCTTTTTAGTACTAGGTTTCCTCAAAGATGGACTTAATTGGTATTGAAAAACTTAGTAAGATGTTATATATTGATATTTGATTCCAATAGATAAGTTTTATTTATGGATTTGTCTGTATTTTCTTCACATTAAACTGGAAATATTCACCTGTTGTAAGCAATTTATTAGTAATATTAACATGTGTACTCATAACATCACTAGGTGTGTGGTGCACAGGAGCACTTGACATTCTGCTGTTTTCCTGAAACATGCTTTGTGTTCAATTTCATGCTGAACATTGAAATAAGTAGACTAGGGTTTTTATTGCCACTTTAATAAAAACATTGCCAAGTGGTAATTTTGGCACTATGCAGTGCAACTCCTGAATTATAAAATTTAAAGTTAGAAAACATTTTAAAATTGTAACAAGGCAGAGAGAGAGAGAGAGAGAGAGAGAGACTTTGACTGTATTAATGTAGAATTTATTTTCATTTTAATTAATTTAAAAATTATATTTTTATTTATTTATAATTAGTCTTGATAAAGAATAAAAGGCTATTTTTTTAATCGTTTTTTAAAATAATATTGCATAGTCACTAGATGATTAAATTTTACTTTATACTCACAATATTATATTTCTTTGCTACAATCTATTTGTAAATATTGCAGATGTGAGCCATTACCCGACACCTTGGTTGTTGAAACACTGCTAGGATAAGTTCGAAAGTAGGGTTACTTGCCAATCTCGCACTTCTGTCAGGATGATGTGAAAGGATGGAGGTGTAAGAGACATACACAAATGTATAGAAACCATTGTGTTTATTTTAAAAGAAAAACTCTTACAATTATTTGTAGCAACACTTGATATGGATGGGAGTCCTGGTGGGAGTCAATGATTCTGGTGTTCTGATGGTAGATCGTTCAGTGGATGAAGACTGGGAAACAGAGGTGATGAATCTCCAAATGTTGGATGAGTGCAAAGGGTGTGGTTGATCTCTTAATGATGGCAAATTGAGATGGAAAGTTTGATCCAGAAAACAGATTACCCAGTGGAGATGGAGGATCTCTTAGGGTTGGATTGGCAACATTGCAGTGGTACATGATGGCAGCCAACACATAGACTCAACGATAGATCAACAGCTTGAACATCAACTTCAGTGATATTGATTACTCACTTTCTAGGTACCCTAAGGCAACTTCTAGACATTGGCGACTGATCTCTGTCCTTGGAGTCAGTCCCCTTTATATGATTCAGATGTGAAATCTGTGATTTGCATTGGTCAAGATCTGACTCTTCCTGTTGCACTCATTGGCTCCCACTTGTTGCTAGGATCCAAGTTTGGGTCGGAGGGGATGGATGTCTCTCTCTCATTCACATGCCGGAGTATAAAAATTCAAATTAGTAAAACCTTAGTTTGAGCTATAGCAAGATACAGTTAGTTTGTTTCATTGATAAAAAAATCTATAGTTGAACTATCTCACTAATTTAATTATAATTTAGTTAATAATGTCCTAAGTTTATCTTAATTAATTTAATTACTAAACTGGTTGATTGTAAACTAATGTACTTGGAATCAGTATGAGTTTTAACAAAAATAATTAAATCCAATAATAAAATATAGAACAGTTTTTTTGCTTTACTTTGTTCTCCATTGATTTTTGTTATGAAATAATAATAATATGAAAAATTTACATTTAACACTTTTTTTTAAATAAAATCATACCTTTTATAAAAGAAGCTGATTTACTAGTAGAATCTGATATATTTCTCTCTTAATCTCTGAGTTATGTTTATAAATTGTGATAATGATATACATTATAATGTGGCATTAATCTCAATTTAATAGATTAAAATAATGAAAATAGATATCAATGAAAGGAATTCCAAAAAACTGAGTTTCCTTCATTGATAACAATAATCTGATGTATGTATGCCTTTTTATACATTGAAAATAGATATTTTTGGTTAGAATTATGAATAATAATTTACAAAAAGAAATAGTTATTTAGAATTTATAATAAATGCTAAAACATAATTTAAAAACTTTAAACATTTAAATTAATTATTTTCATCTGTTTGAATATTTTATTAACATAAATTGTATATAATGTATAAGAAATTTGGTTTATTGCATGGTTAAAAAATTATATAAAACCTTAAATTTAATTTTTAATGTAAATTTTTCTTGTTTATCAGATTAGTTTGTGTTCAAGGGCAAGATAAATCCGAAACTTTGAGTAGATTGGAAAATGTTCGACTTTCTGTTTCTGATTTACAGAATACATCAGATGGTAAGTAATCAATATAAGCAGGAATTGTTTGTGCACTTATATTATATCAATAAAAATTTATTTTTAAAATACTGTTTTAATTATTTATCAGATGAATTTTGTTTAGGATTTTATAATAAATGTTATTATTTGTAGATTCTTTATTAAATGCTTCTGAAATTATTATGGCTAATGATGATCAAGAGGCATTTACAATTGCTGCCGATACTATTACGCAGACTGCGGCACCTGCTTCGTCAGAAGTTGACGTTTGTAATAATCAACAAGTGTCAACAGAAAATGGATCATCTAATGTTTTACAAGAGCATCCAAAGGTAAAGTATTGTGGATAACTTACACGAAACTGTTTAAATTTTAAATTTCAATTGCTATAATTGTATATCTTTTTGATGTTTTAGTGATATCGGAAATTAATATGCTTACATTTAAATTTTCACATTTTTTGTTAAAGAAAAAAGGGGGTTGGCCAAAAGGTAAGAAAAGAAAACAAGCAACGAGTGAAACAGCTGCTCCTCGAGCTCCTACAACTGGGTTAGTTTCAATTATTAGTTACTTATATACTAACTAAAAATAGTATTTTTCAGTTATAGTAATACAGTAAAACCTGTATAAACTGGAATTGCACTGTACCAAATTCTTTTCCCATTTTGAACAGGCTTAAGTATTTTTTCTTCTAACTATTCCAGATAAATGTCAAGTTATATTTATCTCATAATAAAATTGCTTTTATTACATATAAAGTGTGGCTATTAAATAACAATACTGGTTGAAAAAATGTGATTTATTATTACAGTTATTATCCCCTTCAATGTTTTCCCCTCCTCTATCTATACTCTGCTGTATATGAATTTTCTATTGTTGAAAGCAGTGCTGAAAGTTATAGATACTATCTGATTTAGTAGGACTGCTGTTTTGTCCTTTATCTCATCCTCTGTTTGAAAATGAGCACACTTCAATGTGGATTTTTACTTTGAGAAAAATAAGTCCTATGGAGCTAAATTTGGCAAGTAATGTGAATGGTCCAACACTGGGACCTTCTTATCAGACAGATTGGTTCAAGCATTGTTCTTCCACTGATTGGATTTTTTCCTCACTCATCTTCTTAGCTTAACAAACATTATTACTTTGATGTTCAACTGTCTGACCTTCTGGTACCAATTCAACTGCATTGTTTTGTTTGGTTTCTGCCATGACAGGGAAACCCAGTCATTTGTCATCAACATTTTCTCAACCCTCAACAAATCATTTGTACCATACAAACACTCATTAATGTGACATCTTGTTATCACTATACACTTGCTGCAATAGTCTCAAACACTTGATCAGTGATTTCTTCAATTTCACAAGAAATTTGAAATTAATATGCTGTTCTAGTTTAAGCAAAGTGACTGCACATGTGCTTCTTTTATAACTTTTTATAGACTAACTACAATTGAAAATGAACAATTCCTACCTCAATTGCTTCTAGTACTTTCAAGGTCATTCATTGTGTAACTCATGCCATCTCAATATTTAATAGCCACACCTTGTATGTAAAAAACATTTTATTAGTAGTTTAATCTAAATTAATCCAAAGCAATTTCAACTAAAGATGAAAGTATATGAACGAAAAATTGAAAACTATTTGATTTTAGAATTGTTAGCTTTTAGAAAGTTCTTGTTCATGAGAACTTGTGCTATGTATTTAAAATACTTCTTGGATATAATCCTTATGAGCTCGCACAACAGTGAACAAGTCAATATGCATACCAAGAACTAGTGCTGTGCTTTGCTGTTGGAAATTGTAATTGCAATACAATAATACAAAAACCAAGTTATTTTCTGATCTTGAGAAATTTTAAAACTAATTGTTAACTTGTAACACACCATTTATGAAAACAAAGGGGTTACACAATATTAGGGTTCAAGTACAAGGCCTGGACTTTCCAAATAAAAAAAAATAATTTTCACAACCACATATATTTATTGTGAATTATTATAAGTTTTATTATATTGACAAAAAAAAACAATAATGGGTTAATTGTCCCAACAGTAAGTTAAATAATTGAATAATGGAAAAGTAGCAACAAAAATCAATAATCAAAGACAATTTTACTTAAAAGTTTTGTTGATTTGGATATTATATCTCTACCTCAACAAGAATTCTACAGCAAAAAGATACGGTTTCCTCTAATTGATCACAGACGTTTCTACCACAGTTGTCACCTGAAGCTGCCTCCCTCCGTAGTCGATGTGCACCTTTTATTCCAAGTCTAGTGCAGCTCTGCACTGTCTTAATTTACATAAGGTGGCGTTACAGGATCAGGCACTGATGCAAACTAAGTTTGCTTTTTCTTTCATAGTCACTTGTGCTTAGGAGTTTGTCCTTAACTAAAAAGAACCCCGAAAAGAAAATAATTAAATAAAAATAATGCCCCAAAACATAAAATAACGATCGGACATTGACTCCTTTACAAACTTCAGTCTGTAATTATCAACAGTTTTAATCAATTTTTTCTCAAATACATAGTAGTTAGTAACTAACTAGTACCAAGTCAAATTGGCACCATTGTTACCTTATTCTCATTGTTTTCAACAAAGTACAGTGGAACCTCGGTATACGTCTGCTTTAGAATACGTCCAATTCAGAATACGTCCTGTTTGGACGAAACAAATTTTGTTCGGTATAAGACTTAATTTAATTATAAGCGCCATCTATGAACAAGTAGCACTATCGGTGTACTAGACCAGATTAGACGTTTGCGGTGCCACGGTTTATAACTTTGTTAAATTTCTTCTGATTTTAATTTGTAAGTAACATTTTATTATTTTTATTAATCATGAATTGCAAAAAGGCAACAGAAAAATAAAAAAATGACAATGGAACTGAAAAAAGAGATTGTTGAGAAATATGAAGGTGGCATGCGTGTTCGAGATTTAACTGTTGCATTCCGTATTCTGAGAACGACGATATCGACAATCGTGAAAAATAAAGACATTATTAAATTTGCTAATGTTGCGAAAGGGGTTAAATCAATTTCTAAACAGAGATTGAAGACATTAGATCGTGTCGAGAAATTGCTTTTGCTTTGGATAACTGAAAAACAGTGCGCTGGCGACAGTGTATTGGAAGAAATTATTTGCAAGAAAACTAAAGGGATACATGCTGATCTCATAAAAAATCAAGCAGGAACTAGCGAGGAAAGCGAGGTGTTTAAAGCCAGCCATTTTTTTTACATGAGAACGGATTAATCATTTTTACATTACATCCTATGGAAAAGGTTGGTTTGGTATACGTCCTATTCGGTATAAATCCAAACACCAGGAACGGATTAAGGTCGTATACTGAGGTTCCACTCTACATTGCTAGTTCTTCAGAACTCGATTCTTAAAAACTCATTGTTCTTGAAAGTTTTTGATTTTTCTCCTGATTAACTCAAAGACTGTATTTGTATTTCCCCCTTATCATGTGATGTTTGTCATGTTCTGCCTGTAGGTATAATAGTTGCCACAATTTTACTTATTTAGCTACAAGTGGAATATTAAATTTTTGTCATTATTCAGGTTATACTGTGTTTTTCATATTGAAAAACCTCATAATTTTCCATTTTAAACCAATTTTTGACTTTTACTAAAATTTGGAATGAAGCAGTTTTCTGTGTTAGTTTATTTTTCCATTTAGGCAGCATTCCATTTTGACAGTTTTATTATATTTAATTATAGAATTTTTTCAATTATTAAAAAAATGTTTCTTTTTAGTTATGTTCTGTTTCAACAAGAAAGGAGACAAATAATTAAAAAGACAAATCCTGAAATTCCATTTGCTGAAGTGACAAAAATATTAGGAAATGAATGGTCTAGTTTGCCTTCTAATGAAAAACAAGTATGTATATGAGACTTTAAATTTATATATTGTTTTCTTATATAAAGTTTCAACATTTAAAAATAATGCAGTACAAACAATTTAACATTATTACTGATGATAAGCTATTTTATCTTTTATATTATTTAATAAAAGTCATATACTAAAAGGTATTTCATATATAAGTTTTTAATAGATATTTGACACCCATTTCTAAATAATGATATGTCTATTAGGTTCCTTTTTATAAATATTAAGCATTAATGAATTTAATAATTCTATTATTATATTATAACTAAGTATTGATGATATATAAATATTAGACTTCTACAATAATACCTTTTTAAAAGACAAGATTCTATCGTTGTCTTTCTAAGAATACTAATTTAAATATAAAGTACTATATGCTTAAGTATATGCACTTATGCAAACTCACACATGCACTCATCAATATACTATATATTCTGTCTCTAATAACTTTAGCTTAAGCTTAACAGCTCAAAGCAAATATCAAATGTTCCAGAGTTTGAATGCTAAATTTGATCCAGAGTTCAAATAATACTTCTACATTCAAACTGGATGTACAGTGAAATATTGCACTCATTGCATAAATGGCATCTGTTGTGTACTCAAGTTGTATCTTGCTCTTGTTGTGAAAGCATCTCTTGCATTAAGCTCATGTGTTTTCAGTGCTTTTTTTCATATATATATATAAATAACCCATACACCTATTAACCATGGTATTCAAGAAGTGTGTGGAATCAACAAAGCATAAAAGGAAGATTGTAGTATCAACAATTGAGGTGAAAAAGGAAGTTATTACAAAGCACAAGAGCAGGTACATGTGTGATGGATCTGGCGGCCATGTTTGAAATGCCGCCAGATCCATCACAAAAGGTGTGCACCATTCTTAACAAGGAAGCAATAAAAGCAACAAATGTGGCTAAAGGTGTGACAATGTTAACCTCCAGTAGATGGGTATTGCTTAGGGTCTGAAACAAATTAATTCACTTTCCATTATGTCTAATGAAGAAAATTGATCAGGACTTCAAATTAAATTTGTTTCAGAAAGCCATTGAAGTATGAGGGACCATTATACTTATAGATCTGAATATTGTATTTTTCAGCAATGTTATATAAGCTCAAGTGATAGTTGTAACTGTAATGCAATGTGACCCTTATTGTATCCATAAATATCTGTGTAATTTACATACAATTCTGTTCATTTAAATATATAAAAAATTCAATTTGTTGATTGTATGTATGTTCCACTTTTCTTAAATAACTGGTTCTGACCCTCTAGTAGTAGTTTTGGGTATTCACAACTTCATTTGCATACAAATATACTTGATGTTGACTCAGGATATCCAATCCAATCCAAATTACGCTTTATTTGTAATACGGCAATTGCCTGTTACAATGGGAGAACCNAAGGATGACAATCGCACTCACATTATTATTGTTTGATAATATTCATTTCGTATTTGGTTTTAGATTTGAATAAGAAACCCTCAATGAATGAGAGAAAGCAACCAAACATTTTGCATATTTTTTGTAATATGCTTCACATAATCTTGAGGCAAGGCAAATAATTTAGGTGTTTTGTAGAACTATCAACCAATAATTCTAAATAAAATAAAAATATTGATTAGATTATTTGTCATTTTAAAAGGAGAAAAATGAAAACAAACATGAGTTATGTCTGATAAAGAAAATTAACTTTATCAGACACAATATCAGAAAATAAAATATAGTAAGCAAAAGTCACCTACAATTAAAATATAAATTTTCATCTATAAATATGTATTTTCTGATATCAGGACTTATTATACTGGCTTTATATAACTCCTGATATTAGGAAATACGTACTTTAGAAAATTTATATTTTAGTAATTCAAGGACATTGAGGCATTTTAATTAATCACTTACAATTACCTTTTTTAAATCAGCAAACTTAATTCTTCAAATGCAAACACTTTCCATCATTGGGCTTATTTTTTGAATGTAATGGAAAAAAATATAGTCAATAGAACTTAGAATTCTCAAATGTAGTTCAAACTGTTGATAGTTTGGTAAGTTTAAATGTTAATTCTGTTTAATTAGGTGCAGTATTTATGTTGACATGTACTTAATTTTATAATTATTTGTCTTATGATATTTCATCCTAGTGAAGATGTTAAATACAGTGTAGGTATAAGCATTTGAGATTGCCTTTATGTACTAAATACATTAATTGAAGAAATCAATAGAATCATGTGTTGAACATAATTTATTTTAAACACAGACAAAACACTTACCCCAACATACTTCAAATTAACACATTTGTACTAATGTTTTTATCTGTTTATAACAGACATCTTCAGCTATATATAACACTTGGCTGGTGAATATATATCTGAAGATGTCTGTTATAAACAGATAAAAACATTAGTATAAATGTGTTAATTTGAGGTATGCTGATGTAGGTGTTTTGTCTGTGTTTAAATTAACATATCCCACTATTGGAAAGTCATTGAACATTATAAAGATGATACTGGTACCAAATTTTCAAACCACCACTCATTTTTAGGAGCTAACATATTTCGTTATAAGATTTTGATCAAACATTTTTTTTATTTCTTTTGTTTGATAAAATGTGCTAGCTCCCAAAAATGAGCAGTGGTTTTTTGTTTATTTATTTATTTAAAAATTTTTTCACTTGGCATTGCTTATGCAGATCTTATATAATTTACATAGTAAGATATGTTCCTTTCAGATGTATCTAAAAAGAGCTGAAGAAGATAAGAAACGATATCGAGAAGAACTGAAGTTGTATCAACAATCCGAAGGATACCAAACTTATCAAAAGTGGAAAAAATTAAAAGCAATTTCTAGTATGACATTTTAATTATATAAAATATTGCATATAACTTGTTATTAAATTAATAGAGTAAAAACAAGATCATGTCAACAGTCTGTTAATTTTTATATATTGTAATATTTAATTTTTCTGAAAATTTTAAGTGATAGTTATATTTGTGTGATATGCTTCTTGTCTAGTGTTCAATTATACGAGCTCTAAGGTGGCTTTTTTTTTTCTTTTAGACTTACTGATGGTATAATAGGTCTAGCAAAAAAGAAAAGCTACCTTAGCGCTCGTATAGTTATATTTACTAATTCATTTCATCCTATCAAGGAAATATTACTTTATATAGTATTTTTGGTAATTTTTATTAATACTTCATGGTATTTCTCCTACAGATGAAAATTTAAATTCTTCCACAGATGATTCACCTTCTTTTACTATTCATACCATTGAAGTAAGTTAAGAAAAATAAATTTTAGAATGTGAATAAGTTATTTATAAGCTAGCTTTTCTTTTTTCAATTTTCAGGAAGAAGATACGAACGAACTGTATTGTAAAGTATGCGATATTCTGTTTAGTTCTATTCATAATAAAAAAGAGCATTTATATGGCAGACAACATTTACAAGCAGTTACAGGTATGAGAAATATAATGAATAGTATAATTTATTTAACATTTCATATTCAACATAATCACTTCTATAAAATAATTTTATATTATTTACTAGGTGAGATTCATAAAGAAGCAATGGAGCAAAGTCAGGTATCCGAGGATGAATTATTATTTTCGAACGAGGATCATCATTTATCAAAAACTGGTACCACAGGGAATATACCAAATCACTCACGGTTACAGAATACTAATTCTACAAACGTCAATCAAGCAATTCATGATTTTTTTATGTTGAACATTAGTAAGGAAAAGAAATCGCTTATGAAATTTTCTATTTCTATGAAATATTTTAATGCCAGAACATTTTAACTATTTTACTTTGCAGCAAGATTACAAGAGATTTCTGTTTTGAAAAAGAAACTTGTTGAAAGTAAGAAGAAAAATGAAAAATTACAAAGGGAATTACATGATTGTAAGGTATGTATTTAATTTGGCAAATAAATAAATTATGACACACTCAAATTTGGCTAATTTGAACCCATAATTATTCCTCTTGAAATTCACAGCATTAAAAGAACAGTTAATTCAAATTTAGAAAATGCAAAGCTTAACAAGAGAAAGTAGCACATAGCCTATGAATGTTCTGTAAATTCCTGGGCTGTGGATAAAATTGCCGTGTGTCTTGGTGACACAGGCAACCTGCAAACATAAAATACAGTTAAACTTCTATATAATGAAGTCACTAAATCCTGAAAAAAATTCACTATAGGGAAATTTCATTATACAGAAATTACTTTTTTGATAAATGAAATATTTTAACATAATATAATTTTTTCGTTTATATTAACTTATTAAATTACATAAAATAATGTAATATAAAAGTTTTAATTTTAAATAAATTTACAATGTTTGTGTTCAAATATTTACAACTTAGTTTAACATTTTCATTAAAAAATGTTCTCTCTTTGTAATATGCTTCACACATAAATGAAGCAGTTTTAATGCTCTTAATAAATCAATGTAAATGCATGTTATAGTTCCTGTAGGTCTTGCATCATTGGCTAATTTCAAAATTGATACAAGTTTATTATTAGTTAAAAATTGAAGTGATTTAGAGGAATGATAAAGAAAATTATGAAAAAATATAATATTGTTGAGCAATATAAAATACTGAAACTATTGCAGACTCACAGCAAGTTCTACTGATTATGAGGAAAATAAATTGTCTCAAATAAGTTTGGTTGTGAATGTAGAAGACTATTTTTTCAACAAATGTGAAATACTATCAAATATTAGGAGTTTTCCCTTTGGTGTTCAAATTAAAATGAGTTTAAATCTTATTGTTATATAAAATGATCAACCAAAATATAGTGGTGCCTCGTATAACGTACGCCTCAAATACCGGACTTTCCGTTCGGCAGTTATGTGAGGCGAACAACAAACTTTCTGTGAACAAGTGCGAATGATGTTTCCACTCTTTTGCCGTTGCCAATGGCAATCTGCTATTTTTATAATATAATAGTGTTATTAGAATATATTATTAGTATATCTGAAATACAGAGCTCCTGTTGGGATTCGGCTTGCTCCCTTGTTTATTACGTACATCACCTCAGTGCAGGGTATTTAAATTTATTCAAGTGTTGTGCAAATCATGGCTTCTAAAAAAACAGAAAAGTGATTTCAATTGAAACAATGCAAGAAATCATCAGAAGGAGTGAAAGTTGACAACTTCCTTGTCGAATGGGAGAGGTTCAGGAGTTTACCAACTCATTATCCAAACAGAACTGAGGCCAGGATCAATGATCTCTACAATGACACTCTTGCCCGTCATTTCCGACAGGTGTTGAAGAAGAGAGAGAAACAGACCACCTTGGACATGTTTTTCAAGAAGCCAGCTGCCAAAAAACAAAGGATGGAACAAGAGGAGTTGACCCTGCAAGCTCCGGTAGCCTCTCCTGAATCTGACTCCGATTAAAAAACAATAAAAAGAGACCTGCTGCAATGTGTAAAAAGTCTGTATCTGTATGAATGTGTGAAGAAAGTGTTTTTCCACCTCCTCCTCACAACATCTGACTACCCGGCATAATTGGTGACTGCTCCATTTTCATTTTTTTAATGGTACAGTATGGTTATTTTATGCTGCAGAACAAATTATATGTTTTAACATGTATTTCTATGGGAAAATGCGTTTTGTATAATGGACTTTTCACTTAATGGACGTGCACCTGGAACGGATTAAGTACATTATATGAGGCACCACTGTAACTAAGTAATTATATTAAATTCAGATATTGATAAATTTTATGCAAAACTTAAAAATTTTTATTTTTAAATTAAGGTTTTAGAAAAGAAATTTCAGCAAGAGCTTAAAGTGGCTAAAGAATATTGCACAATGTTGACTTCTCAACTCGACAGTTTAAGGATGGTGCCAGCACTCTTTGGAGTCATTAATTTTTAACGTGAGGACCAGTTTTTTTTTTTTAAACCATTATAAGAATATTTTTCACATTAGTTAGAATATATTTCCTAACTTGCCATAAAAAATATTTGCAGGATGAAAGGAGAGAGATGAACGAACGAATTGTCGCACAATTTTATAGTTTTTAGAAAAAGCTTGACATTATCTCAATTTAGTTATATGCAAATCATCATTCACAATTCAAAATTGTGTATTTGTAAAATCAATAGAATAAAATTTATAAGGCGTTTTTTATTTAGCACTGAAAAGTAACTTTTAAAAATTATTCTTTAATATTTCAAATTTTTATTGATTTTGGGAAATGAAAAAAAGGAGAAACTCATATTTTTCTATATTTATACATAATTTCTGTTCCGAAAATCATCAATAGAAGTAGAAAAATATTTATTCTTGTTGTAATTAAAGTATTCACTAATTAGACCGAATCCAAAACCTCATCCCTGGTTGAAAATGCTGATCTGCCATCTTGGTCTCTGGCATGATGGAAGATTCTCAGTTAGACATTTTACCTAGATTAATAATGGTGCTATTGCCATAACACATTCCTAAAATAAAGTTATTTGTGAACTTTGAACTGCGGCATGTAAAAATGTTATCCATTCTAACAAATTTTTATGATGTAATATAATGTCAACAAATGAAATCTGCTAGTTAAATTGAAATATATTAACCCTTTCTCATCCAATATTTCAAAATTATATGGTATATATGTATATTATACTATGCTTACACAACAAAAGTTAACTGGGAATAATCTAACTCCAATTAACTTCTATTATATTGTTATTTATCCCAATGAAGTGAAGATGGCATTCTTACAATATGCAACTCAAGGGGTCAAATCTATTTTATATACAGTAGCATTTCTTCAGAACACAAATTATGCTGTAAGTAACTTGATTTGATGCTGATGTAACTATTCTTCCAGTTGTTAGTTCTAGCAAAGGGCAAATTCCATATTAATATTCTAAATTTAAGTAGATTAGTGACAATTATATTGCAGAAAGGATTAAAATATGAATCAGAATATTTTAACATTTGTTCTGCTTAAATGAGAAGAGTTTATCAAGTCAAAAGGCTCAATTGAAGTTAAATGGTCTTGCAAATGTAGTATTGAATTTATACCAAACCAATGGAAGAATTTCATAAATTGTTGTCAATTTTTATTAAATTTATTTTTTAGACTTTAAATCATTGTTTACAGAAAGGTATTTAACTAAATATATAATTTTAAATTATACAGGGTATGGTTCAGAATGTATTGACAAGACTTAGGTTCAATTATATACTGTAGAATCTGCTTCCTGTCTTTCAAATCTCATGGGAGGAAGAAAAACAAGTTGAGATAAAGATGTTCCTACACAGTAAACTATATGTATGATTGGAGGTATGGTATTTTATTAATACAATAGCAAATACAGTATATACCTGTATTAGATATGAATATAACATTTTTAACGTACCTTAACAAACAGTTCGTCAATAGTTTATGATGCCCGACTTTCTTCAACCAGTAAGAGGCAAGCCAAGCTTGTAGCCAATCAGAGAAAAGCAACATTAATTTACTATGTTACTGTATTGCAAGACATGTTTCTAGACTATAATTTATGCTATCAAAATATAATCACAAATTTAAAGCTTGACAACTACACCTCAAATTATTGACTGATGTGTCAGAGATTTTGAGAGAGAATTTTTGAGATAAACATGGAAAATATATTGAATTTAGGCTGAAAATGCAGGGAGAAAAATAAATTTGGAGATAACTCCATACAATTGATCTTGTCTGTTTTTCCCCCTTGAAACAAGTCCTGTTGTTGGTATTTATTGCTATAGCTTTTCAAACAAATAATGCAGTGTTTTAGTAACCCTGCGTTTCTTTATGCAGTGAGATTGTAGCAAAATGACATCAAAAGCAGTGTTGGCCAATTAGAAACCAGTTTCAGTGTGTTCACTGTAAAGCGCTTCTAGAGCGCTGCATAAAGAAACGCCTGGTAAGCAACACATTTTACAGAACTGTGCTGCTTTGTTTAATAGTCTTACATTGGAGAGCATATTTTCAACACTGAAGTTGCATGCATGCACACTACACATCTATGCACATAGAGGGCTGATAGAAAAGCTCCCGTGTAGAAGAACCAAGTCCCATCGATATGTTCCGAATCATCCCATGTTTGCATCAGTTTTAAAACTGACTTCAACTATCATGTAGTTCATAATTTTGTCACCCCCAGAGTGTCTGTCTGTTCTGGGGAAGTGTTCTTAACGTTGTTTGCCATCAGATTCAGATATGATCCAACCTTATAATAGAAAATGCATATATCAAACAATTTTTTTATAGGATAAGAAAGGGTTAATACAGTTTTGCCAGTTTGAGAATTTTTAAACAAAATACTGAACAAATTTTAACTTGTAAAACTATAAGACAAAATGGTTATAAATCAAAGTTTTAATAAGTTTTAGTTTTATTTTAGAATGTACATGTTTAGATTTTTTAAAATTTAATTAATAATAAAATTTTTCCCGAAAGTTCCTCTTTATCGTGGTCATCATGTACATAAATGTAAATTTTTTCTGAAAATAATAAAATGTTAAATGTTAATAAGCGTATAACTTTTTAATTTAATGGGTAATTTGCCATTGTATGGTCTGGCAAATAACCTAAAAGTTGGGATAGAAAATGTTTAAATAATGAAGTTTCTAATAATATATAAAAAATCAACAATTCAACTCCACTTGCTCAAGAAATAAGACAGCTGTGGAGGATGGATAAAGTATTTTTGTACTTGACGTCTTCTCTTCTACTGGTGTCATACCACATAAACTACACAAAAGTCTAGAAACATTAAACCTTAATAAAAGCATATACATGGCACTACAGAAAGCTGCAATATTGAACATGTCACATTGTTTGGAAGTTTCTAGACATTGACACTTCTCATTTCCCGGTCTTTTGCTTGTCCCAAGATTCTGGGAAAAAAGTGAACTGTTTCCTTGGATATAATTAATTATTTTTAAGATATAAAATAAATCTTGAAATTGAATGATATAATTATTTTTTCATTTTTAAGTAATTTAATACGTCCTGCCACCTCCAAAATAATAATATTTAAAATGATGTGTATAAAAAAAATTACTTTTGAATTACATAGAAATTTTCACAAATAGAAAAAATTTATTAAAGTTTGTTGGAAACTGCTTACAACAGAAATGCCTTTGAATTGAGTTGAAAGTTTTAGAAAAAAAATGAACCTTCTAACTTAGAAAGTAATTTTTGTTATTTAAATAAAATTAGAGGAGAAGGTGGTATTATGGAACCCCATTTTCGTTATAGTGAATTGTAAACAAGGTATCATAACTACACCCACATTTTTTGTGTGAAAAGTACTGATAAGTATTAAACTAGATGTTCCTAATTGGATTTTTCGCTAGAGTAACTATAAGTATAGTTTTTTGAAGGCTTCTGTACAAAAAGTCAAAAAGTAGGCTTAGGGAAAAAAAGGTGGTAATATGGAACCTTACTGTACGTTTTCAAAAAATGCTTTAATGTATCCAAAAACAAATAGGAAAGTACAAAACATATTAAATAATTACAAAATTATTTACTCCAATGTATTTTATTGCAAAAATGATTTAATAATGATAAAGAAATGTACAAAGAAGAAGCTAATCATTTACAAAAATCACAAATATAATGCTCCTATACTGTTAGGTATCTATTTTTACTTTTTTCATTCATCTACCACATACTTTTACAAAAGTTAGACAGGTTCGATATTAAAAGCACCAATGGGGTCCATATTTCATGCATCGCCATCTTGAATTAACTTATGTCTGTCGAGACCAAACTTTAAAAAACATGAACATCACACAGATTAATATGTACCCCTAAGTCTCTGGAACGGAATACATGCACCAGTGAACCTACAACTACACAATTTATATTTTAAAAATTCACTTAGCATTCAAAACTTGAATTTCGAAAAACACAAATATGCTAATTCACTACGGACAACAATCTAACTGAAGTAAAACGGGTTTTTCCCTTGCTATGGATGTCTGCCTAGTTCAGTTCAGCCACAATCCGCCTTTAATATCAGTTTGAAATGGAGGGGTTCCATAATACTACCTTCTCCCTATATAAATATTTACAATAATAATTTGTCTTATGTAAGTTTTTAAAAAGCAAAGATGGTCAATACTATGATCACTCAATTTGCTTCTTATTTTACTAAAGAAAAATCCTGCTACAGAGAATACCCTTTTTGATTCAATTGGTGTGGGTGGAATAGTCTTTAATGCATTTAAGAGAGGATGGATGTTATGTTTTTTTCACCTGTAACCTGGAAGATTTCTAGTTAGTTTTCAAGATGCATTATACTACTTCTTTTGCCATCTACTATTCTTGATTTTTCTACCTCGACTGCTTTAATAGCAGCATCGAGCTTATAGCCCGATAATTCGGCAGTTTGTTTGGTTTTAATAACCAGGTTTATGATGAAAAACTTCATACTCATTTGTATTCTTGCCCAATTTGCACAACCTGGTATAATGCAGTTATTGAAGCTACTGGGCATGGTTAAAAATTAAGACAGCCTCGGCACAATTATTCCAAATATTAAAGGTTCTGACAAGTAAAGAATTTTCAGAGTCCTGTCACAAATAGGCTATATATTGATTATTGACAATCTGTGACGTGCCATGACAAGCAAGAATTTAAAACTAAAAACAGGAGTCAGTCTCTTTCTACTCACTCGGACCCTGCTATATATTGTCTCAGTGGGATACTCATCTATGAGTATCCCACTGAGACACCTATAGCACCAGATTATCAGGGCCTCAAACTAGCAAATGGTGGATTACCAAGATCATAATGCAAACCTACTCTGTACGAATGCACTATTTAAGGGATGTCAAGATGTGGTTTTTATAAAAGTTTCATTAAAATATTTCAAATGATTAAACTTGATAAATGATAGAGAATTTCATAGGTTTCAAAATAATTCTCTTACAACCGACAACCTTTCAATTGTATAGAATCTGTAACAAAGAATACTTCACCTAATATTTGGATCTAACGAGAAACTGTTTTAATTAATAATCTAAGAGTTCTTAATAAATAAATTAATAATATANTTTATACAGATTATTCCCAAAAAATTATACGTATTTTGGAAATGTTGAGTGGAATTAGTCTAGAATCGGTTAATTTTATAGAAGAAAACCTTTCGAACAGCCTTAGTCCGTAAAGTTCCCACCTATCGGGCTGCGATTGGCTCATTCCTACAACGTAATTTTCGGTTAGTGTGGAACGTATCTAAGTGTTTTAGGGGGGTCTACTGTACTCGAATATTTGTAGTATTGGGAAAAAAGTGGAAAGACAAATTTTTATGACAAATGGATACATAAATCGTAAATTTAAGGAAAATAAATTCTAGATCTTTTTCTGTACCTCATGCGTCTCTCTCATTCATTAAATTTAGTTGTAAATGATGCTACCACAGTAACAGTTAATTTTTTAACATTATACAAGAATTGTACACGTTTTTTTCTACATTCCCTTAGAGATGGGATATACAAAATCGTAATATCACTGGTTTAACATTGAAATCCGTGAGTAATATAAAATGGGAGAGTGGAATAAAAAATATCAAATATTTTAATGGATTTTTAAAACTCCTGTCAACTATACAGAACTATCGTAAAAACATACCAGTAAATTCTTATTGGTTGGGTTAAGTTATAAATCTACTTGTGATTTGCGTAATTGGGCGAGGGTGGCCAAATATCTAGTGGGCAGGCGGCTAACAGCCCAGAACTGGTCCCGGATAGAATTGGATGCATTATATGTGTAGCATCCACCCGAAGTCCTGGGCTTCCACCAGCTAAACTAGTTGAGGTTGGTGCTCTGTAAAGCACATGTGCAAATCTGGCTTTTTGGATGCCGACAATACAGCTCTTCTACTCCGCCACTAATATTCGAATATACAATAGTGATCTTATTTTTTTTTTCATGTGTAGTATAGAAATTTGTAATAAGATACATAATGCAATAAATAAATTAATAATATATTACTGTCTGTTACTTCTTTAACATATTGTGACTCATTAAATCTTTATGTTACACTAACAGAAAATTGCAGTTTGTGTGTGTATTTGGAAAGACAGTTATTTTATATTAATTCATGAATTCTTACAAGTTGATTTTATGTAGAAAAGAAATTCAGTTTATTGGTACTCTTAAGTAGTAAGAAATTGGCCATTAAATGGAACAACAGAATCTGGCAACTTACAGAAGCAAATTGGCCTTATATGGACAAGTTTCTTGTACATTAAATAACATTTTTGGATGGGACATCCGGTCAGTGATACTGATATACCACTTGAAAGCAGTCCACACAAAAAGTTTTGTGCTACTTGGCAGTGGGATTTGACGTCTCCGTACCCTAGATATGCTTTTTACATGAGCGTCAGTGGTGTATACCTTTGAAATACAGGATTTCAACAGGGAAAGTGAAAAGATAAGACCGAACGGTTCCACTTGGTAATGTAAGTAAAGTAAGTACAATGTACAGACCCGTCCTTCAGTTTTAATGCCAGGGCAAAAATTAAAATTGGGCATTTTTGTTTTTGATATTCACTTTGCCAATTCATAAATTCTGTACTTGACTTAAATGCCTGTCTTTAAAAAAAGAATGATCTTTGCATTTTTTAGGAGATGACTTTCTCTTTCCAAAAAACTTTCGAATTGATGGAGTAGAATCGCATTCCTCTTCGTCGCTCCTTCAAAATATAATGTTTATGTTTATTCAAATTATTTTGGAATCAAATAGTTTAAAATGCTTACCATTCGACTTCAACGGCTTTCTCTTGTAGAATCTTATTGGCTGTCGACCAGCTGAAGCGTACGAGTTGCGGGTATCCAAATATGGGATCTAAACTTTCAGTTAGAAACTTTTTTGTGGCTGGATCTAATTTGAAAAAAAAAATTTTTTAATTTAATTAGGAAAGTAGTTAAAATTCTAGAATATGACAGATATACAGTAATTCTAAATTAACAAGTCAACTTATATAGCATTTATAGAATTAATCTTTAAAAATTATTTAATTCCTCATTATTTAGCAGAATTAAGCAATAGAAAGAATTTATTCAAACGATAGCTTGTGACAAGAGTATTGATGACCATGATAACTACTAATAAGGGCAGACTTACACAGCTTGTATCATTTTTATTTTTAGTTAATATAGCAATGTTAGGGTAGTCAAACTTCTTGAGCAATGCTGACCTTTCTCAAAAAATTTGCCAGTTGTCAAAGATGTAAGAATGCCACAACTGATGGGAGACGTTCTGCCTGCCAAACTTAGTAAATGTAAAAGAATCATCTAGTAACGATAATATCTTGCACGGAAATACATGTTGCATTAGGCAAGATTTATTCTATTCGAGGACCAAACTGTTTAGCATGTATACGTGTATTGTTTTGCCACCAGTCCTTGAAATCATTGATGGTTTTGACTGATATTGATGTGATAACAGTCCTCGTATAAATCTGCCTTAATACGTCGTGATGCATAGTATCGACTATTATCCATAATAAGGGCCGTACAACTAGACCAAATTTATGCTTATTCCAGGTGGGCCAGACCCACGAGGTTGATCAGCACCAATAAGATAAATGATGTCATTTGCTATCAAATTATTTGGATGGGACAGGTATCTAGGTCACACAAATCCAGATAATCTGAATATTTATTAACCGTAAAGATGCATACAATTTTTTAATAGTCATAATAAATCATAACGGTAATCGTCCAGCATTGCTTGTCTACTGCCAAATAATAGCAACTAGAATATAACCAAACTAAGAAATGTTTGATTATATGCTATAGTAATTTAAGTTACCATACAAGATGCAAACAACAATTAATATTTAAAGCACCGGTCACGACTGACTGAGCATCATCGGTCATACACTAAAGCCAATAATCGAAAGGAGAGTTTTGAGCTTTTTTAACTGTAGAATCTTGCTTATTAAAATCTACATAGTTTAACTCTATATGTTTTGCATCTATAGTTTCCTGAATCTTGATTGCAATAACATGATTTCTTCCATTCTGTTTCCATCTCAGATTTTGGCTTTTGGAGAGCATTTATTAACATAATTGCTTTACTGATAAATATTTGAACTTTTCTTCTTACTCAGGTTCCCACTTTTGCAGGTTTTACTGTAGTTAAAAACAAATAGAGTCACTTAGTTTGCATTCTTCTCACCGATCAAGTTTGGCAAATGAGTCTTGAAGTAAACCTTGGGCACATGTAGGTGGCAAGCCAATGAGGGTTCAACTTATGGCTTGAAGTGTATTGTTATTAGCTTGCTTACCACCTAGATGCAGCCCTTGTGACCTCATTCCAGTTCCAGACTGCAGTATAAAGTATAATAATTTTAATGTATTTTGAGATGGTCAAATTATTAACTATTTTCGGTCTGTCACGCAATCTATGAGCTATCATTATAATCTTTTGTGTCTACCAGTATATATGGTCTTTGTTGTTGTGGCAATGTGGCAATCCACATTTATGGTTCAGTGCTTCTTTAAATAGATATTTTAAACTTAAGGTTAATAAATTTATACTTTCTTTGCTTTTAAAAAGCAAGTATCAGTCTGGTGGGTAAACAAAAAGGCATCGTCATCTTTCTTTTAAAATACAAAATGATCTGACCTCGGGTTACTCAGAGTTATGGAATGACACCTTAAGAACTTTGTTCGTTGCCAGCGTCATCTGTAATTAGAATTGCTTGCATTGCAAATGGAAAATATACATTAGCATTTGCTTTTAATACTTGCATATTTTATTATTAAATTGGCTTTCTCAGTTAAATTCAGTCAGAATGCTTAGATATTGCAGTTATAAAGTTTTTTTGTAGGTTAAGATTAGACTTTGAATATTCTAATTTAAATAGTTTTAATATTTACCATTAGGATAACCAGAACCGTATTCAAAATCCTCATCCCAGTTCTCTCGGAAATTCCAACTTCCAATTACTCTGTCTCGCGCCACCTGAAAAAACAGACATTTTAATTTGTAAATTTGGGAAATTGATTAAAATATATTTAAAAAGGTATATTTATATATATAATTTCAAAAACTTTTAAAAAGAAAAGTCACTTTAAAATAACGAATATAAAAAAAATTACTCTGATCTTTTCAACGGTCTCTTTTTTTATTGTTGAAGAGATGTAGTACTTACACCATATGCATTTTGAACTGAATCAACAGTTCCTCTTCAGTGGTAGGAATACACAATAATAATGTGAAAAATCTAGTATTCAAGAGTAACGAGATTTTAAATTCTCTGGAATGCAGGACTCTTCTGCGAGGGCTCAAAAACTCACCTTTGCACAGATACTCGCAGCACTAACGATGGGATAAGTGGAATCTGCCTGTTTTGCCACGGTTATTTTCAAGTCGGGAAATATTTCTGACAGTTTGCTCTGATATTTTTCTGCTATTCCGACCGTATCGAGGTAGACCTTAGAAAACAAAAAGAAAAGTTACAAGAAGATCCAATTAGGATTTGGAAAGTAAACGTTTTTATATACCTCGTCGGCATTTATGCCGGCTTTGATTACTTGTTTAATGAGACCGATGGCAGAATCGTGAGATGATTCGTTCAAGTTATATTTGCATCTGAATAATAAATTTAAAAGCTTTTGAAGTAGATGATAAATTTATTAAAATATAAAAAAATAATGGTACCTTTTTAACATGCTGTTAGATATAGTGTTTGGAGAAATTATTTCCAGCATCCATCCTATGAAATCGTTATTTTCGTCAATAATTCTGAACAGCCGCTCTCTATTTTCTTCCGTCAGCGTTTTCGAGTCTGTTTTCAAGAAAATTCTTTGCTATAGAAATATATATAAAGCTAATAGATAGAAACAGTTTACAATACTTTCACCGATATTATTTAAGTTTCATCTCTTATAACTATGAGTGACCAAATGTAACTATGAGAGTAGACTAAGCCCTGTTGTGTGTCACAAGAAATACTGTAAGGAACCAAGTCCGAACGTTATTTTTATTTACTTTTATTTTGCTTATTATTCTATTTTTGTTTGGGGCTTATGTTTTGTTAGGACGAAGGTTTCCTCACCATTCACCTTAGTAACTTAAAAATAGAAGAGGTGAATTCCTGATAGCAACGAGCTTTGGTGAGCTTCGTAGCAGTGATCGAGAGAGGTGTCCGATTGGATCAAATAGTTCCAAGGCGATTTTGAAGTTATTCGATTTGTGGATCAACAATTATAGAAAGGCTTGAGAGTTTGAGGAAATAGGTTCCTAGTATATTGAGGTGACGATTAGGATCTTTAAATTATAAGAATTATTGTTTATAAGTTAATTCTTTGATTTTGTCGAATTCCAAAGGGGAATAGAATTAAGTTAGAAATAGATTGATTTGAGTTTGTCAGTTTGATTCTTGTTGAATTTCATTGAATAAATTATTGTTTGATTTTTACTACATACTGTATATAGTTTATTACTAGAAGTTTAATTAAATATTTGATTTTGTTATTGACAAACTTTGTCATTATTTAATTCGGTGCACGCTTAAAGTCCAGGCCTGGCACACTAACACGAATCTGTGTAAAGTACCCGTTAGGGAACGGCTATTTCCGGCACACAGTAGTATCGATAATCGTTGGAAAAGTCGGAAAAATAATATAGTACTTTACAATACTTAAATCTCAAACATTTATTTTTATGGACTTAAAGGATAACATTTGAAGATCTAAATAAATAACAGTGTATAATGAAACAGTTGGGTGACTTCTGGCAATGCAAAATCTATGCTTCTCAAGTAAAGTTTTTGTTTGAACACACTGTAGATTTTGAATACATGTGGTCTGTTATTTGAAATTTATATTATATACACACAAGTCATGTCATCCCCATTATTGTTCTTATAAAGGAGATAATGAACATATATATGTTTGTTGGTAACACTTTATAATTTACTTGACCAGAATGTCAGTATGAGCTAAACTGTGACCGTGGCAGAGTCTGCTATGGCACAGAGTTTGCCAAAATGTTTTGCAGAGGTAACCTGACTTCATAAGAGAAAAGTGTCCTGTTGCTTCAATTTTTGTTAGCTGGACAAGTGGATTGGCAGTGGATTTGAAGCATCCTAGCACATTTTTCAAGGCCACCAAGAAGTCCCAACCTTATAATCCCCAGACAACCACAAAAGGCAACACACAAGGGCCCAAGATTTTCCAAACATACCATTGTGTTGTCAATATCTCTTGTATCACTCTCATACAAAATGGCTCCCAGACCAGCATGCCAGCAGTGAGGGCAGTGTACCACTTGATGGCCATTCTGTATATGTAATATACAATTTGATGTACAGCAAAGGCAAATCTTGATTTATTGCTACTGTTTATTTGCTGTTTCTTGCCTCTGAAATTGGTATTAAATCTAAGTATGATGCTAAATTGAAGGATCTGAATGAGAATTATACACAATAATAAAGTCTAAATGCAAGTTTAAGATTTATTTACTGGCACAATGAAGTGACTTTTCTTCAACACTAGGCAAGTTTCAATCTTTATTCAGTTAGTCTAACTGAATAAAGATTGAAACTTGCCTAGTGTTGAAGAAAAGTCACTTCATTGTGCCAGTAAATAAATACATAAATACAACACGGTTTCGACAACAACAAGCAAGTTTAAGAGTTTAAAACTCACATAATTGGTGATGATGATGATAATAATTGAAATGAAAATGCAAATTTAACTATAAGTTCAACTTAGATCCCGAATCCTTAAAAATTTTTACAGGCAATCTGGCCCAGACACATTGGATCTATATCACAGTATTAGCATAATATTACAAATGGGATAAGCTACATAAAATTGTTCAAGAGGAAAACTGAATTTTGAGGTCTGTTTTATGGGACATGAACCAAATGGGCCCACTGGCACTCTCTATCTTCATCTAAATGTTCTACGAATGAGATAACTGACAAATTGGATAAACAAAATACAACTGTGCTAACTGTTCAATGGGGGAAATGAAATTAATTAAAGTTACTCAATGGTCTCATTTTTGTTTGAAAATATGTCTTTATATAAAATATACTGTACAAATGTAACATAGAACAAAAGCATTTTGTAACCATCAAACATAGTCTGCATCAGTTAGAGTTACAATCTCTGCTTGGAATAATTTCAGTTTATCCTGTCTACAAATTGCGCGCACAATTTTTGATTGTGTAGAAGACAGAAAAATCTCTAAATTTGACTTTCTGATGTCTATTGTTTTATGCATTTATTTATATCAAATATTGTGAGTAAAAACAAATACAGTGAAACCTCGCATAACGAGTAAAACAAATTTGTAAAAAATGACTCGCTTAATGAGCGATGTTTCGCATAATGAGTGACGAGAAGGGATATCCCGGATTGTGCGCATGCTCCATCAGTCTGTGTTTAGCATGTGTTTTGCTAGCATCTTAGTGTTGCTTGTGATCACACATTTTTTCAAACTAGTGTTCATACATATTACATAAAAACATCAACAACCGTAGCTCGTTATATAATAAACATGCCAAACAATATGCCAAATTCTTGGGCTATGTGAAGACTATAATTAAATATTAGAAATTGTTTAATTTGATTAGAGGTAGGCAGTTATGTACCATCTTGTATTAAATATAATGATCAATTCCAGAAATGTCTAAATTAAAAATTAATTATTTATAATTATTAAATTTAATATGAGATGATAGTATAACTGCCTACATCTAGTCAAATTAATTAATTGCTAATATTTAATTATAGCCCAAAAATTTGACACATTGTTTGGCTGTTTATGAGAGATATTTTTTCAATTCTTTTGTTTCCTGCAAATCGAATTTGCATTCCAGGTTGGTTCATTCTGCACTAGAAGAAATGATGATGATGATGATGATGATGATTCATGCTCCTTAACAATGTACATTGTATAATTTTCTTTGAATAAACATTATATATAAAATATTTGACTATTTTTTCATCATGGAATGCATTATCATATTTTACATTAATTTATAAGGGAAAATTGTTTCGCTTAACGAGTGTTTCGCATTACGAGTAAGATTCTGGAACAAATTATGCTCATTAAGCAAGGTTCCACTGTATAGCAAAATGATAAACAATACTTAAAACTTCATAAACAAGGCAAATGAAACCAATTTCCAGTACAAAATTGGTTTCATTCACCTTTTTATTTAGTATACCCAATTTCATGTTGATGATCTATAAAACTTCAAGTGATGCTCTCTCAGCATGTGACACCACTGAAGAATCTTTAAGTTAACCGTAGTTCCTTTCTTACTAGCTTTATAAATTTCAGGTTAAGTCATGTCATAGACTTAAATATTTTGGAGTGACTTATAGATCTTTGGACACTAAAACCAGGAACATCAATACACACCATTAAGAAGTGCCTATGTACTGTACATCTGCTTTGGCGGCAATTGCTTGTTGCAGCGATGTTGACATTTCTACCACTCTCTAGAGAAAAAACAATTATATTGGCATTTCTTTTGATTCTTACACTTACTACATCATACATCACTCTATGACATGACTTAAATATTTGGAAGTCCCAAAATTTTTATAAGGCTAATAAAGTGATCATGATTAACTTTAAAGATTCTGCAAAGGTATCATATGCTCAGAGAGCATTAATTGAAGTTTTATAGTTTTTTTTATTTATCACCATTTTGCTTTATTTGTATCTCTCTACATTTTATTTTCGTAAATGCACTTTATCACTTGGTAATCGGCCAACGGTAAAACAGGATGAATAAAATTTATATATTATCCTCCATTTCTGAGAATAAGAAAAGTTCTTTGTAAAATTCTTACTGGTAACACAATAAACATTCGAATGAGATATTTTCATATTTCCAGAAACTAGTTTGATACAACAGGTATAGAAATAGAATTATAATACTTTCTTACTTAAATGTTATCACGTTACAATAGCAGAAATGTTCCTACTGGATTTTTGTTTGTCAGTTGGCAGCGGAATATTTATTTACTTTGAGACTAATATTTCACGAGTTTAAAAGTGTAAAGAACATTAACAACTATAATTTTAATCCTTTAGACATGCTTTTATATTACTGCAAATGTATTCTTGATATTTTGTTCCATGTTAACAATACTAAATTTTAATAATTTTCTATTTCCAAATTACCTAATTGAAAAACAGAATTTATATAACAGTAAACATCATTAAATTTTTAGTGATAAGTTATCTCAAAAATTTTAATGCAATCCCTTTTATTTATAAAACGATAAACATTGTTCCGACTGTGCATGTTTTTGATATAACAAAAACATTTCTGAATCATTACAGGCTGGAAGTCAAAAACAGTAGAAATGTTGGCCTGTTTGTTACTCCAAACAACCCAACTTTAAATCGGAATCGAATCCTTAAGCTTTCAGATTATTTAACCCGAACGTGTCATTGTCACTTGTCATCCTGCAGTCTTCACTGTGGGACCGACCAAATGATTCACGGAAAACATTCCTCTTCAATCCTATCGAAGAAAGAAAGTTGGAAATGAGTCTTTGATAGTTGCTGAATAACTTATGTTTCTGAGTTTGAGATTTATCACTGTAAACATAAAGTGTGGATGCTCTCTGTTGATAAAATTTTACAGTATGCCAATAAGATAATTTTAAAAACCAACAGAAAAATTCCTGCTATTTTTGAACCGTTGAGAGCCGGTTTTCACAAATTTTGTAAGGTATTATTTTGTTTCCTTTCCGAGAATGCATCGCATCACTGAACTTGCCATTACAACTGGCATTTTACAACTAATACATT